CAAACAATTAAATTTGAATTTCCTGAATTTCCTGTCTTTTTTTTTTTCTTTCTTGGTCATAGAAATAATTTTAAACTCTGCCTTACAAATAAGTTTAAAGATGTATGCTGCAACCTCACTATTTTAATGTAATTTATCAAAGCTGTACAAACAGGGAATACAGACCCATTGGTGCCTAATACTTTGCAAAGGCAGAAAGCTGGATGTCAGTGTTTAAACCTAAAATTTCATGTAAGTTATAGTTCAGCTAGCTCTTGCAAAAAAGAAATTTCCACTGTTCCCTTCATTGTCTGAGATACATAATTTCTATCTTTGCCCCGTTTGTAGAAAAGCAGGAGTTATGGAGAACAGAAGGCTACATCAGGGTTGCAAGTAAGCTATCCAGTTGTTGAGTTACTTAATTCAAAGGGTTAAGCATAAATTAATCTTAAATTAAAAAGGTAAGCATTCATTCACAGTATTTAAATATTAAAGAAACAAAATATGAGGAAAAGGAGAGAGCTCTTAATGGTAATTTTTTCAAATTTCTCTAGGAAATGTTTATTGGAAAGAAATTATTGAAAATTATTCTTTGCATGGGATTGGAGAAGCACTGTCAATGATGATGATCTTTTATATGTGAGGGAGTAATTTCCTTTAAGGACTGATGAATCTTGCTTGCTTTGAATCACAGCTCATCACACTAACTTACAAATAAGCAAATGTCAAATTAATAACTTATCTTCCTGGAACCAAACACTTCAATGAGGGCTTCACATAAAGTTTTTATTCAAGGTTTTTTTTTAAAACAGCCAGACTAATCAAGTTCAGGAATCTTAAATCTGAGCCAGATCACCCTTTTTTCCTTTCTGCTTATAAAACTTAGTCTCTCCTACAGCCATAAAGTGGATAGAGGGTTTTAGAAGAAAAATTCTTAAATTACGCTCATTCCAGTAGCTCATCCAAGAATTAAATCTAACCTTTAAACACTGTATTTGTTTTGTTTTGACATCCCACCAATGGCTTTCCAAAAGCTCTGGAAAACTATAATCTCTACTGAAAAGTCTCTTCCTCACAGAAATATTCTTTAGTTTCCTTTGTTCTCCTCCTTCCTTGATGGGCTGGTTGCTGCTTGTCTCCAGAAATGAATAGGCTGGGCTGTAGTGAGTGTTGTAAAGTCAGGGATGTGAGTCAAGAGACAGACAGAGGTGCTTGTTCGGAGTCATTCCTCCAGTTACTTCACTGAAAGTGAGAAATCAATTTCTTATTGAAGAAAAATGTTTGCATTTTAACTTAATTGCTCTTACACTCACACCATAAAGTACATGAATGCTACTAGGAACACAGAGAACTGGGATGAAACACCACAGTTACTGTGAAAGTCATTCTAGAAATTCCTTCTGCAAGTTGTCAAAAAAACCCACATTTTGTGTTCTTGGCTCTGTCAAAATATTGGGAAGTCATTAGAACTAAAATTTGATTCTGCTTGATAACTAGACAGGAGCAGGAGGGAGTACTTTCCACCATCTTGCCATCAATGACAAACAACATATGTCCTTTAGAAAAGACTCTGCAGTATTGGATCATCTAAAAGTAAATAAAAAAAGCGTATCATATATCATCTTGAATATACAATGATATATAGTACACTCATAAATTCCAGCTTTGTCAACCTGTTGACATATTGTTTTTTGACCAACAAAAGCAGGTCTGAATTATCCCTATCTGCTTTTATTATTCTCATCCTGGATGAGGAGATTGAGTATACCCTCAGTAAATTCATGCATGACACAATTTTGCGTGAGACAGTCAATTTTCTGGAGGGTAGGAAGGTTCTGCTGAGGGATCTGGACAGGCTGGAGACATGGACTGAGACCAGTGGCATGAGGTTCAACAAGGCCAAGTACGGGGTCCCATACTTTGACTACAACAGGCCCATGCAGCACTACTGTGGCGAGGAGTAGGGGGGAAGAGTTCCTGGAACTCTGCCCAGTGGAAAAGGACCTTGGGGGTGCTGGTCAGCAGCTGAACATGAGCCAGAGTGTGTCCAGGTGACTGAAAAAACCAATGTCATCCAGGCTTGTATCAAGAATATTGTGGCTAACAGGACTAGGGGAGTGATTCTTTCACTGTACTCAGCACTGGTGAGGTCACACCTCGGGTGCTGTGTCCAGCTCTGGGCTCCTCACTGCAGGAAGGACACTGAGGGGCTGGAGCGAGTCCAGAGAAGGGCAGCAGAGCTGGTGAAAGGTCTGGAGCACAAGTCTTACAAGGAGAAGCTGAGGAAGTTGAGGATGTTTAGCCTGGAGAAAATAAGGCTCAGAGGTGACCTTACTGCTCTCTACAATTTACCTCAGCTAGGGGTTGGTCTCTTCTCTCAGATAAGCTGTGACAGGATGAGAGAACACAGCCTCAAGCTGCATCTGGGGAGGTTCAGGCTTGACATCAGGAGAATTGCTTCACAGAAAGGGTTGTTAAACATTGGAATGGGCTGCCTAGAAAGCTGGTACAGTCACCATCCCTGGAGGTGTTAAAGAAGCTATTGGACATGTCACTCAGTGTCATGGCCTAGTTGACATGGTGGTGTTTGGTCAAGGATCAGAATGCAATGATCTCAGAGGTCTTTTCCAACTGTGATTCTAGTGGTGACATCACAAACCGTGATTTGTGATCAATCCCCAAATTCTCTACACTTTTACAGTATACTTCTGTAGTATCTTCCTTGTTACACACCATTCAGGTCCAAGGTAAATATTCAGATACTTGTTACTCTCTGATATGCTGTGAATGTTTTAGCAGAATTAGGAACTGAAAAATCAGGAAATGCTATCTGCTCTGAGGAGTGGTACACCAGCAGTGTCAATACACGACTGAATACATTTGTAAAAGTGCTGCAATTTTTTTTCTGTTTCTGTTAAATATTTAAAATGCTTATGCTGTCAAAATTATATTTAGAAGACGATCTACTAGGGTAGTAAATAGAGAGCAAATCCTTCAAGGACAAAGGATCATTGTTGCTGGTAGACTGATGCAAGGTGGGATTTTGGCTGTGGACACCACTAGATGTGAATGAGTGTTTTTTAAACTAATGCTGTAGAGAAAGGGTGTCATTACTGCTATGATATCTGTTGTATCATAACAGTCCTGGGACTGGAAGATGTTCTGTGTTTTATTTAATGCATATGAATTATTCTTCAACTGAATTTTGGAATGCGTATTTGTAAATATTTTTGCATATGTGTGATGGCCCATTGACACCTAATTACCTATCCATCCATCCATGGATAAAACTCTTAAAACATAATCATACAAATCAAGGAGGAAGGGGATAAAAAGGGAAGCTGAATTGATTAATCTGGTGTCAGAGTTTAAGAGCAAATAACAAAGTCCTGCTACATTAAAAATGCTTTGGGAAAGATTTATGGCATTTACTTTTAAAGACTGGAATATTAATAACTCTAAAGGCAAAGGAAAGGTTATCACTGACAGTAATGGTGCTTTTACAGAGTCAGAAGATTAAAGTTATATTTCTCCTACAAAGAAATCCATTTTTCTTTGGGAAAAAAGGGTTCACACAGGGCTATGTTGTTGAACACAACCACTCATGCTTTATTCAGCCCTGGATGAAGAAAAGTTTGGAAGAGATGGAGCTGGTGTCCAAGAATGCAAAGGTGGGACAGAAATTTACTGTGCATCTCTGTGTGTTCTCTCTGACACAGGAACCTGATATACTCTGCAGGTCCATTGCTTGGAAGTGCTGGGAAGAGCTGAGACCCTGATTCTGGGATTAGAGTCTGGAAGTGGGCAAAGCAAGACCTGATTTCACAAACTGGATGAGAATGGCTGTCAAGGTTACTGATACTGAGTGGAAGCTATATAAGAATGTGGGAGGAGACTGTCGGTATGAGATGTGGCGTGAGAACAGACCTTATTTCAAAGACTTACTAGAAAATGGCTTGGCAGAGAACATAAAGGCAAGATTAGGAGAAAGGTTTGATAACATAAGAGGACCCAGTCCGATAGCATTATGGAAAACAAAGAGAAGGAAGATATGTGGTGAAATGTAAGTCTCTGTAGGGGTTGAAGCCTTTGTATTTGGAGTATAGGAAGTAGAAAATAAATTGTATCAAATTGTAGGAATTTGAAAGTAGGCACTTACCTTCAGCAAATAATCTTTATCGTTTTGGCCTTACCCCTTCTATTAAGCAAGAGTATCTTGGTGGCACTTACTTGATTAGATAGTCTTAGGAACAGCTGTAAAAACTAAACGACGTTGTTTCTGAGAAACCTTTCTTCCCTGATTTACAGGTCAATATTCCCATATTTTATGTGTCCTGAGTGGCCAATTTCACCCATGGCAGGTGCACCTGCTCTAGCAGGGATCAAGGCCCTCCAGTGAGTGCCTTGTGTCTGACCTCAGCCATGTGCTATTTGGCTTCAGCCTTCTAACACTGACCATCCCTGGCTGAAGTGACCATATCTGACCACAGATCAGACTCAGTGAGGGTATGAAGGGAGACTCTCCAGAGGGGGTCTGTTGAGTCCATTCTGCCCAGAGCAGAGGATCTGAAGGGGGTCTGCAGTTGGGGTCTCTCCCCTTGGATGGGATTGGGCCCAAGGTAACTCCTCAAGCCTGAGAGCTCTTGCCTGATTTGGCTTATGATTGCACATTCTGGGTTATCCTTCTAAAACCTCATGAATTCTTAAATCATTCAGGTACTACCAATTACATTTGACATCAGAAACTGATATTCAAATGCAGACAGAGTTTTATTTACTTTAATTGATTTATCTGGTTTAACTGGTTTAGAAAGTAAACCTCATTTGAATATGTTATTTCTCTCAATTTTATAAGCTTCCCTGACATAACTTGCAAGTCTATGCAGAAAGAACTATGTATCTGGAAAGTGTGAAAACTTGCAATAAGCAGTGCAGGATGTTCTGCATTCAGCATCTGAAAATCAACTAATATCATTGTCATCATCCAAGCTTGGATCCAGAGAAAATAAGAGAAAGACATTAATCTGAAGAAAATAAGGGGTAAGAGACTTCATATTACATATTTGCTTACCAATTCTTTCAGCCTTAACACTTGTTTATCTGTAAGACAAGATAATCAATAAGAGATAATAAGAGAGCAGATATAAAAACATTCATATCCAAACTACCCTCTTTCCTCCACCCTTACAGGTACTGGGGAAAACACAATAATCGTATTTCTTTGTCTGATGAGACAGACAGACGGCCTGTTTTTGTTTTGCTGCAAATATTCCTGATGTTTTGTTCCTAGCTCTTAGGAACTACAATTAAAATGTTCCAAAACTAGTTGGCCTTTGCCTCAAGTTCAGACTAGCAGTTTTTTTGCCCACATGATTTCACTCAGCAAAACCATTACACAGTTGCGAAAACAATAATAGCGTTAAAACTGTAACCTCAAATTAGGTCTACTGGGAACTGATCATGTTTAACAGTCATGTGAAAAATGAAATGCTGATTAAGTACAGCGAACTATTTAGAAAATCACTCAGAAAATATTAATCAAAACCTTTCATGTAAGGCAAAAGAAAATATCACAAACTATGCTAGAATATGCAGGAAAATTAGCATGAATTGTTTCCTTATCATTCTAGAGTAGTCAAATTTTATCACATTAGTGATCTGAAAAGAGAAAGACTTAGACATCTGTTATGAAAGAACTCAATAAAATTTGTAATGGAAACCTGCAGGACAAACTAATCAGTCAGTGAGTAACCAAGATCAAAATACAAGTCAGTCTTGATAAGGACAAGATACTGCAAAAGAAAAAAAGTTTAATCCTTTCTTTCCTCTCAAGGAGGCTTGCAAATTGAGCTGTGGCTGATAATGTTTTCTGGAAAGAAAATAACAATTAAACTATATACACATGAGGAAGGATGTCTGTCATGCACTGCTATGTATCTGGCTACATTGATTTGTCTTGTTTTGAAAGAACATAGCAGCCCAAAGAAGTTACGGAATAGTCACTGATGATTTGCACTCTTAGGACCAAATTCAGGTGAACTTTGTTTTGACATCAATTGATCATCAAGAATTCATTTTAGACTTATCTCTTTATGGAATAATCTCATCATGAATCTCTGGCATGTCTTTAGCTTTATTCTGTTTATTCAACATTTACATCTCTGTGTATCAATTCCAAATGACTTTTTCCATCTAAGACAAAATCCAGTTTTGTCATGTACATCCAACTTAGTTCTACCAAGTTCTTAATTTGCTATGATGCCAAGCAAGGGTTTAAAACCACAATTAAAAACTCCCCTAGAATAAAATACCTTGTTGGCACTATTCTTCTATTTATGTTTATAGATGGTGTGAATATATATTAAAATCAGTTGATTAACTGGCCTGTATTCACTAGAAGTTTAATGCATAAATATAGTTTTTTTAGTACTTGTATATTGACTACCTGTGTTATCTAAAGTACTCAGCTTTGGGATTAATAATCTTTTGGGACATCTCCAAAAGGAGGCATGAAAATGATCCTATGATATAAAAATGTGAGATAAAATGCAAACATGAGCATAAACACATAATTCAATTATTTAAATATCTTCCTATTTTAAGAGATTTAATTTTGAGATATTATTTTAGAGATTTTAAACATCTTCCTGTTTTAAGAGATTTAGAGAACTGAGCAAGTATGTAATAAACAAATCTAGGCATGAAATGTGCAGAGTCTTTGCCATGTACCAATTTTATCCATTGCAAACTTTTTTTTGCTTCTTTCATTTGGGACTGAATTTCTTCAGTGGAAGGGTCATCATATACAGCCAGTAGACAGGAGGATGAAGCATATACATTACAATTAATAAGGTCCTTAGAGAATGCAGACTTTCTAAACTCAGCTAATACAACTTTACTGTGTCAAATCAGCTTCACTATGGAATGGAAAATTATAAAATGACTTGTTTTAAAGTGATCCCTCAATATATAAATTTTATTGATGTAGCAATTAGAGAAGCCACACCCACACATTTTACTCTTTCATCTACTGGCATCTTCTTTTTACTCCACCTCCTTCCATCCCCTTTGGTAAAATGGCATTCCCATGTGTTGACAGGCATCTCTCTGGCTGGCAGGACCAGTGGCCCCTTCCATCTTACCCTGAAATACAGCAGAATAAATAATCCCTGACTGCCACATACACCAAAGTCATTACCATGGGAAATGTCATAACCTCTCAGGCTTTCATGTGGCAGGTTTGCCATTTTTTAAACCTGTCATTGCCATGTGATCACAAAGCACCCTCTGACTGGCTGATTGTTTCCTTTGGGCATGAAAATGCTGTTATATAAAGACATTTACCTTTACATTTTTTTCCTCTATTTATAGAAAGAGTGTACAAACATTAATAAATATTTGCTTTAATTTATTTATATATTATATATCTAAATATAAAGATCAAAAAAATCAAATATATATCCACAAGTGTATAGGCATATAATTTTTGGATTAAAGCTCCACTTTATTTGGAGCTAATGAAACTGTTAATTAACTTTAAATGAAAATATTATCTAATTAAATAAAAATATAAAGCAAGTATCAAGGCTACTTTACAAGGCTTCTGAATCACCCCCAGCTTCTTTAGAGCGGACAGAGTTCACAGAGATGTGGGACCATGAGCCAGTTACAACAGGCATACAGTTAGTGCCTTTCTGATGGGATCAGCTGCTGTCAGAGCCAGGAACTGAAGGACAAGTTGACCTGTCTGGCATGATGGGGCTGGCCAGCTCTGACTGCAAGTTTAAGTCTGGAAGGAGAGATGAGATCAACAGTATGCCCTCAGAACCCAGGGAAAACCCATCCCATTTGGCTGTGGTGTCCCTCAAGGCAGAGCAGCATCAGTGGGTATCTTTGGCAGCACAAGAGGAGTAGCTGTCATGGTCTAGGAGAGCAAATGGATTGTGGCCAGTATCGGCAGTGATGCCGTGCAGGCGTTCAGGGCAAAGTGACCTCAGCAAGGGAGTCTTTCCCTGACCAGGCTGAACAGTTATTATCCTCTTCTCATATCTAAGATGCTTCAGTCCATCATCTCTTTGGCCCTGTGCTGGACTTTCTCCAGTAACTCCATATTTTCCTTGCGCTGGGGTGCACAAAACTGGATGCAGCAGTCCACATGTGGTCTGACTAGGGATTAGACAGGAGGGATAAACCAGATGGCAATGTTCTTCCTAATCCAGCCCAGGATATCCTTGACTGAAGAGGATATTAATTATGTTTACAAGTAATATGACCTAGTGATGAAGTGAAATTGGAATGAGCTTCAAGATTGATGCAGGACATATTTAGAATTCACAATGGTTTTCACCAGTTGGAGAAATGATCTGAAAAATATTAGGAATAAAGGCTACAAGGATGAATGAAAGGATTCATGTTTAGGGGGAAACAAGTGTAGAAAGAGCTACAGGAGACCTGTGAAAGAGAAAGGAGTGCTTATAGGAGATGACAAGCTGAACAAAAGTCAACAATATCACACACTTACAAAAAGAGATCCTGGGATATGTAGGGAGAAGTACAAGAGAAGTATAAAGAGAAGTTTCAGTTACACAAAAGATAAAATTATCTTACCATTCTTCTCAATTTTTAGAGGTCAGAGAACAGAATGACTTTTTTATTCACCACATTTGGAAAGCACAAGGACTTAGAGGGACCAAAGGAGAACTTCTAGAAGTCAGTAAGAAGAACTTACTCCTGTCAAGACCGGCTTGAACTCCTGGATTGTATCCTGAGTTCACTGACAACAGAAAAAACAACCTATCACTTTTTCCTGCCTTCCTCTTGCAAGACCTTCATCCCATCCCAATGAAAAAGTCTATCAGTCTTGAGAAGTATAGGAAAAAACCAGAAATAATGACCAATGAACATGGCTTAAAAGCAACTGTATAGTCTAAGAAATATGATGGAAGAGAGAAATAATGGCAGTCTTCAAGTTTATAAATCTCTCATAGAGAGAGTGGGATCTGTTATTTGGAATCCTGTTGGACAGGATGGGGAGATTAAATTGCATTAGGAAAATTCAACTTGAATATTATGGAAACTTTCCAGATACGTAATGGTCTGATTAGTGCTAACTTTTATGGTCTGGGGAGTTGGGGAGGTTCTTAAGAGATTTTTAAGAGATGTTTTGATACATGTTTGAGAGGGCTAACATGGGATAGTGGATCCTGCTTGTGTCAGAGAAACATCTTTTCTCTCCAACCTTTTCTTCACAATGTCATTTTCTGTAGCTCTCTTACAGCATAACAAAAAATAAATGCTTCAAGGATTTTCTTTTGGAAAGGGTAGAGTTTGGGATAGGCACATTGATTTGTGAGATCAAAACAATGCCTCAATATTCAAATGAAATTCAAAGTAAGAAATACTTTAGAATTCATGGTCTTTCTTTCTTTGTTTCTTTTGTTTCTTTTGTTTATTTTATTTGTTTGTTTTTGGTTTTTGTTGTTCTTTTTTTCACTTGAGCAACCAATGACATATCTTTGACTTTTGGCTAATACAAAAGAAGAGAAATATGCTCCTAGAGACACAATTTCCTATGCCAGCTCCTCTGGATTTTGAGTTTACAAGGATTATATTATGTCAGCAAACTCAGACACATGTTAAGAAGTGACATTAATCATATATAAAAAGAAATTTTCACTGAGACCTGCTAGCTCAATAAAAAACATCACTGAAATATGTATAAGGACATTCATTTTAGCATAGGAAGCACAGAAAGTACAGTCAACATAGAAAAATTTGTTCAAGAACATTTCCTTAGCCAGAGCTTCTGTTAAAAAAGGTGGAGTGATCTTTCCTAAACCAGTCTGGAATGGCAGGATGAGAATGCCAGTTCTGCTGGAGAAGATGATCAGTCTCTGGCCTCTTGCATGATGGCTAAGGTTTAATTTGGACTTCCTGTTACCACAAAAAAAGGGCAAAACAGCACATCTTTTCCTTTCATAAGTAATTCCTGCAGATAAGGTAAAGGATTTTGTATATTTTTGAAGACTGGAGATTTTACAACCTATTTCTACAGCTTCCTGATGACAATATAGTGGGAGATATAATTTCCTCCAAAGATGAGCCACAGGTTTTAACACGCAGCACAGAATGCCACTAACAAAAGCAGAGCTTGGGAGTTCTCAGCTTCTTTCTCCCTCTTCAGAGGAGAGTTTGAGTAATGTGTTCCCTGGGAGCCAGAATCACTTCCTGCAGCTCCCCTTGATTCTGGGCCCCTGAGCCCCTGTGTGTGGCCTGGCTGTGCTGTCACACCACACCAGGCTGAGCATCCCTCTTAATGGGCTGGGTCCAGCTTGTAGGGAGCGACTGTGGACTCTGGACTGGAACTAGAGGGCACTTCTAAATGGCCCTGACATTGAAGTAACTTTTCAAAGCCTTACTAAAAAGATGAGGGAGTAAAAATGCACCTCACATTTCTTTCCCACAGATAAATGCAACAAGTGTGCTTGTAAATGAGTAACAACATGTTGCCCTGAGAATCAGGCCTTTCGATATTGTTTTCATAATTTCTAGCCACTTTCTTAGGAAAGTAACTATAAACATAGATGTTTATACATTCCATTAAAGATATGCCTTTTGATGAGCATCTCTCACAGCCAGTGTGGTTAGGAATGTGGTAAACTGACTATCCAATCCCTGGTCATGCTTGAAAACCTATAAATACTGAAAGAACAAAACAAACTTCCTTCTTCTTTCATCACACTTCAAGCTGTGTCTGTGTGAATCATTTTGTGTCCAACAGTGACAACAACATCCACAACAAAATACAAGAGTTTGTTATTACTGTAGCAGGATGTGAATTTTTTTAATGAACACTTAAGTAGAGAGAAAGGAAAGAAAGATGTTGATGTGTCTGCAATTAGGGGGTGTTGTTCCAGGTATTCAGTAGCAAAAGAGATGACTCTCTAACCCCATGTAAGGTATTATTTATGCTTATACTTGGAAAGTGACCCTCCCATTAAAACTGGAATTAGATAAATCATATGACTGAAACTCACACTGATTATATTTTATTGACTGGAAGGGTATCTAGCAAGTTTGTTACTTAAGTTTACTGCAATTCAAGCCATTAAAGACAAGTGCTAAAAATGTAAACTAGTTTCCATGTTTTAAATAAATATTTTTATAAATATTGTGAAATAAAAGCCGGAATTAATGGTATTTTTTTCAATAGCTAATATTTAATTGTTTATCAACAACTGAAAGTGTCATCCATTTTTGCATATCTCAAAACTTAAAATTTTGAGTTTATAACTGACCTTACATTAATCTACTTGTGTTGCTCTGTCTTATAGAAGCAAGCTGTTTTGTCTACATTTTTCTTATTCCAGCAGATGATAATGTAAGATAAGACAGTTGGTTATACAAGAATCTTGTTTTTAAAAATTCTGCTAAGTAGAGCCAACTGTTTTTGAGGTCAAGATGGAAGAAGAATCTGTTTGTACTTTTTCATTTATCAGTCTCTTACAGCTATTTCCACAAGCAATAATGTATGCTAATAGGATATTAAAAATAAATGCAAGATACTTAGGATTGCATAATAATGTTTTCTATGCTAAACTCTAAACTAAACAATTCCTTAATTTGTTCTGTTCTCTGCAGATGTTCCCAGTGATTTAAATATGATGGCTGGAAGCACAGAAGACAGCATGAAGCAAGCAAGTAAACTAGTCTAGTGGTAAGATAACTAGTTCTTGGTCCAGTTCTGGAGGTGAGGAGTTCCATAGGAAGACCACATACCTCAGATGTTCTCAAGAGTGGTGGGTCTAGGGTTACATAGAATAGATTTTCTGCTATATTTTACAGTTTTCTTAAAGACTTTTATTTGTCAGAATTGCCTTGAAAACTTTACGGTGTCAGTTGTTTCATTCCATGGTCAGAATGAAACAAGGCAGCTCCATCTGGCTGTTTCAGCTTCTACTAAAAGACTTTGGGAGGGCTAAGAAAAGCCTTAGGGATCAAAATTACCAACTTGTGAGCAGAAAAAAAAAAAAAAAGCAAAATACAGGGGAGAAGGAATTGAATCCACAAATAGCTGAGGACAAAAGAGATCACAACAACTGAGATGACCTTAAGAACACATATCTGTAGATATGCAAAGGGTTAAGTGGAAACTGGTGTAGTGACAATGAAATTATATCTGCAACACTTCTTTAATGCTAGGAAAAACTTAAGCTACAGCCACATCATTTCTCAATTAAAGGGTTGAAGAAATTAATCACTTTGCATTTCTGTTTTTAAAGGAGAAATATATGCTTACTTTAAGTTTTATAAATGACTTGTGATTTTTCTTTCATTTTTTTTTTTTTTTTTTAAATTAAAAGTAGCTTCCATTTTGGAACAAATCATCATTTCAAACTGGAAGAGAATCCAGATTATTTTCATTCAACTAAGACCTTTTTATGCAACAGAAATTTCTCAGAAGTGAGAAAAAGAAGTATGTTTTTATATAATACTGGTTTGACCAAATATACAGTTAATTTCTTCAAGCATAAATAATACTGTGGGGTTTTTTTTTTTCTGTTTCTGTACTTTCGTGTTTTCCTATGAAACATGGAGGACATCAGTTTCTGACTAAGTATCTTGGATTCCTTATGAGGAAATATGCATGAATAGTTTGGTTGGATTTTCCCTCAAAACTCAGTGGATGAGGCTGTAGTTGTTTAACTTAGAGTTATTCCAATTATTTTTAAACTAGAGTTGCTTTGCTGGTGAAATTTGGTGAAAATGTAACAATTTTGGTGAATATTTAACAACTACAAACAGTTATGAATAGTCAATATGAATAGTACCAAGATTCCTTTTTGATTAGACCTGAGAAGTGCTGGCTGTAAAGAAACCTTTTTGATGTGACACTATTTTTAGGTGCAGTTCACTCTTCAAGACTGTTGGTTAACACTCAGTGTTGTGTTGAAACTGGACTAGTATAGCATTTCTCTTCTCCTCAAATGTGTACTAGGTACAAGGAAATTTACCCACTTTCCCATTAACTGTTTGTCAGATTCCTTCGTGCAACAAGTTTTATTTCTGTTTTATTGTCCTGAATTGGCACACAAAGTTTTAAGCACTCCACAGTGGTCATTACATTAAAATCCTTCATCAATATCGACCTTATTATCAGATAAAAATAATGCAGAGGTTAAAATTGAAGTGTGTGGGATTTCCTGCCATTTTCTCACTTTGCTAAGGTGAGTTTCCTTCCAGCTGCACTTGGCAGTCATAATAAGCATTGTTCATAGCTGGTACCTTGGTCTTTCTTGGCTAGGCTATGTAATTTTCTAATTAAATCTCTATTCTGCTTTGTATTTCCAGACTCAATGTTCAGGATGAAATTCCAGATTTCAGTGCTATTACTATTATTTCTAGCCATGGTAGATGTTCCTGTACCTGACATATGAAGATTGGTTTCCTTAGGAAGAATTTACTGAGACAAAGAAACAGAGTTTGAAGGATCCCAGGAGGTTGGCAACATGCATATAAAGCTTCATACTTAATTGCTGCATTATGCTATGATGATAGAATTAAGCCTTCTTTACAGAAGATTTTTCCCTGGTTTCAATTAGCGCCTAGATTATCTAAAGGAAAATATTAAACAAGAAGAGGCCTTTATGGTATACTGTATAATTTTACTGAGAACTGAATTAATTTAAGTATAATTAGTGACAGCTGAAAACCATGCAAAACATTGTGTACTTGAATCTCATTGTGGCAAAAAAAATTTGCAGGAGATTTCCTGTTCCTAGAGCCTGTAAGGACTGGAATATTACTAATTTTTTTCAATAATACTACAGTACTTTGGAATTTGCTTTCAAAAAACTAGATAGATAGAAAATTTGTACAGTTGTCCATCCTTCCAAAACCTTGCTGTTTTTGATAACAATTTGGAAGATTAAACTAGTTTAATTGCATGAGATGATAGCTAACTAGTATGAAAATTCTACATACCTATAGTTACAGCTCTGCAGTCTTTCCTTAAATCATCTTGATTTATCTTTGAATCTTAGCAGTGCAAATGAGAGTGATATGAACAGAGGTTAGTTTATTCTGTGGAAGTTAAATGCACAGAAGTTGATATGAATCTTACAGATGCAATTTTTTTTAAAGTTATGCAACTTTCCTAATAAACTCAGTGTTTAAAATTCATTTTTTCTGAATCTAGACTGATTGACTCAGCCATGTCGTGTGGGAAGAGAATTCTATGCACCAACACATTGTGGAGGAATAACCTGTTATTGTATTACTCTATTCTATTTAAGAATGGTTTGTGGAAATTACCTGGTATAATAAAATGGAAGAAAATGAGAATAGGGGAGAAAGTTCAGCAAAGACATTTCCACTCAAAAGCTTTCAGCTTTTGGTGCTCAGCCAGAGCAATGCAGAACTAGAGTTCGGTCTTAAGCTCCCCTTGAACTTTATCTGACAGAGTGATCCTCAGAAACCTCCTCTCCAATAAATTCTTAGGCTATGTTGAGGTGAAATGCAGAGGGAAAGGGTGACTTTTGGCCACCTCATATGGAGCCACACAGGAGAGCTAGATGGACTTGACACAGGTCTTCCATCTGAATCCTCAGCTCTGAACCTTCCCTTGGAGTGCAATGCCAAAGGAAAGGGATGATTATCCAGAATGTCATGCAGGTCTGTGGTATGAAAAAATACCCTTCTTGAAAGACAGTTTTGAAGTTGTGTCCGTCACATTAGAAGGCAGCAGGCACACTGAACTTTGGGTCTTGTTTGCTAACTTCATTGTTTTCAGAGACTGGTAATTTTGCTTTGTACTTTCTTGGGATGTGGTCTAAATATGTACTCCCACCAGTTCAAAAACCCTTCTCTGTTTCCAATATCTGTGTAACTTCCATGCATTTATTTACAGAAATTTAGACATTTAAAGGGTTTAGCAAATAGGCAGCTGGTCTGAAACTGTCAATGGCACTGAACTGAGACACTTGGACAGAGAATAAAATGCCTAAGTCCAAGGCAGTTTGTCTGAACTCTTTTATTACTTAATTTTCAAAATTTCTGTCACAGTTCATTGCAAAAGAAGAAGCTTTGTGTAAAAAAACCAACCCAAAGCAAACAAACCTCAAACAAAAAGTCAGGCTTGATTAGCTTTCCACTTCAAGATCATTCTATAAACCTGACACATTATTGTGTGGTTTTTTTTCCCTCCTCTGACTCAAAAAGAGAGACAGAAACTTAGGAAATAACAAGCTCACAGAGATTTTTTTATTGTCAAGGAACACATAAGACTCAAAGTGAGATAAGAATTGAACAAACAATTGTCATTTCCTAGAGCAACTTTTGTCACAATTAGTAAAACAGAGAAAATAGAAGATTGAAATACAAGATTAAAGAAAATATTTGAACAGTTCTGATACATGTCAAAATTACTGTTACAATTAAATATAAAAAGAAAAAAACATCACAGTTTAATCCAAACAAACACAGCAGCTAATCTATAGTTGTAGTAGAGCACTCTTTCTGTTAGAATCAGAGAATGTGCTGAGTTGGAAGGGACCCACAAGCTCCTGGCCTTGCACAGGACAGTCCCCAAGAGTCACACCATGTGCCTGATGAGAGCATTGTGCAAATGCTTATTGAATTCTGTCAGGCTTGGTGCTGTGACCCTTTCCTTGGGAAGCCCATTCCAGTGCCCAGCCACCCTCTGGGTGAAGAACCTTTTCCTGATATCCAGCCTAAACCCACCCTGACACAACTTCATTGTGTCATTGTGCCATTCCCTTGGTCCTGTCACTGTCACCAGAGAGAAGAGCTCCTGCCCCTCCTCTTCCCCTCATGAGGAAGCTGTAACTGCAGTGAGGTCTCCCCTCAGCCTCCTCCAGGCTGAACAGACCTGGTGCCCTCAGCTGCTCCTCATGCAGCTTCCCCTCAAGGCCCTTCACCATCTTTGTGCCCTCCTTTGGACACTCTCTAATGGTTTAATGTCTTTCTTACACTGTGGCACCCAAAACTGCCCTCAGCACTCGAGGTGAGGCTGCCCCAGAGCAGAAGGGACAATCCCCTCCCTTTACACTGCCTATTGCCATTAATATATTTGAAAAAAATTTTATTGTCCCCCACGTTTCTGGCCAGCTTCAACTCCAGCTTTGGGACTCATAAATTGTCCCCCTTCAGAGATAAGCAACATCTCTGTATTCTTCCTATGTCACCTGATGTTGCTTGCACTGGCTATACACCTTCCTTTTTTCATTTATTTCCAAGAAAAGATTCCTGTTTAGCCAAGCCAGCCTTCTGTCTCACCTGATTGACTTCCAACAGCTGGGAATTTCCTGTTCCTCTGCCCATAAGAAGTGATGTTTGAAAAGTGACCAGCACTGCAAAAACATTTTCCCAGAGGACTTTACTTACTAACTCCCTGAGAAACCTGTCATCTGCTTTCCTCTTGTGTAGAGTTGAGCTTTTGCTTGCAGTTTTCCTCCTGTCAACAGAGATTTTGAACTTGATTGCTTTGTGATCACTGTGCCCAGGATGGCCACCATTCTCCACTTTGCTCACAAGATCCTGTCTGTTGACAAGCAGTAAATCAAATCAAGATTAAGCAGGTCAAGGCAAGGTATTCTTATTTCTGTGGAAATTCACAAATCCAAACTGTGTCTAACACTATACCAGCATACTCAGTACAGGACTGATTTAATTTGTCCCAAATCTAGAGAGCAATAGTCCCATTACACATTTCCTGATATCCAGGTCGAGGTACTTTTGTATGGGTTACAGTGTCGAGGGAACTATTTCTGTCAAACAAGTTTTGGATTTGTTTCCTCCTGGCAGAATACTTATAATTCAAGACAATGCTGTTATTTCTGTTACATTTAATGTAGCAGACTTTCTCTTGAAAATACTCAGAAATTAAAAAATTTACTTGAATAATTGCAGTTGAAATTGGTACAAAAATGTTGTGCCATGACTGGCAAATGCATGATAAAAAGAGTCCATCACACAAAACCAAGCATAGGTAAGATCTCAACTGGTGGCACTCTGGTGACAGCAGTGTCTTGGTGTTCTATTGTAGCCAGAATTATCCTTGGTGTTTGGAAATGGCTTTGTGAAATTATGGTATTTATATTTAAAGCAGTTTTCTGGACTGGTATTTGAATATTGAGTAACACAAGTACACACAAACATAATTTATTGAGAGATACTCTATGTGAATTTCAAGATAAATCAAGAATGCACCTACCTAAGTTAATTCAACTTAGATGTAAATGTGTGTGGATACACTTATTTGGCTAGAGTAAAACCTGGGGGGTATTTTAGCATTTTAAAAACAGCTTTTACAGAACTGTCATTACTATATGGATTTTTAAATACATAAGCTGCAGAAAGGATTGGGCAAAAACATTAACACTGCGAGTTTTATTTCAAGGGTTTTTTTTTTGTTTTTTTGTTTTGTTTTGTTTTGTTTTGTTTTGTTTTGTTTTTTCCTTCTTTTCTTCCCAGTGGGATTTCCCTAGGAAAAAAAGAAGAATCAGAAAACTTGAAATGAGCTCTTTGCACTCATTTAGGGAGAGTTAATCAATATTTACATTCACAGGTATACATCTGATATTGTGATTATAGAACTTTGATATTTTTACTTAGTTTTCATAAGCTGTACCCTAAACCAGACACAAATATGAAACCTTTCACAGATATTATACTTTAGCTTACGTTATTGTCTCATAAAATCTGTGGATAACAAATATTTTGCTCATTCTATTTTATTTGGTTTCAAAAGATTTTTGTTTTCCTACTCCCCCTAGGTTTGGATTGTAATCCATGTAATCCACAAAGACTGCATTTTGTGTCTATGCTGATGTCAAAAGCAAGAAATTAATATAAAACCCTCTGTCAAAATCACCAAGTTTCACCTAATCTTGCAAAAAAATCCAGAGATTTTTCATGGTGTCCATTCAAAACCACAAATCAGGACAGCTTTCCTCAGTACTATGTTTCATAATACAAGAATGCTTGTGAAGTTCAGAAAAACTTTCGAAGAACTTGGGCTAAGTTTTGAATTTTAACAGAATTAAAAACCAGATGTTTCACATGATTTAGAGTTTTACACTGAAAGCTTTGCCCAGCTCTTATTCACAGCTAAATGAGACAACATTCACTAATACAACAGTATTTTATAAAGACTTTTTTCCCATTTCTCTTAACAAGATGGACTTTGAAGAATCTTTATGAGAAAATTGATTTTTCTGAGCCCCTAAAATGAAGAAAAAATGACAGAGGTTGACTGGTCTCATGTAATCCCAGTTTTATGACACTGTGAATGCACAGTATGTTGAAAGACAAATAGAAGATTGCAGTAGAGATATATCCTGGTATCCAGTAGTTTGCAAAAGACTGACCTCCTACCTAACTCCAGGCTGACCACATTCCATTTCACCTTCTACTATTTTATCATCTGAGCTGCTCATTTTCTCTCCTTTCAAGAGTGTGATTTACAAATACTCTTGCCACATTCAGCTTATGTAACTTTACATGTGGCTTCCTAAATAGAACAAAAGGCAATTTTAATGTAGCTGGCACACATTCTTTGAACATTGCTAAGGTCTTACTACACCAAACATTCACAGACAACTGTTGGCACTACTAACTCATAACACCTCCCACAATACAAGCTGCAATATGGTGAGTTCCTTAATATATCCTGTGGATTGTGTTGTGTTAAGGGAAAACACTCCTTAAAATATTTTTCCAAAGACACATCTCACAATGTTGAAGCACAACTCACTCTTTCTCGAGTGTTTGTGGGGTGGAATGAGTTGAGAATTTCTCTATTTTATATGTAGGCTTAGGTACTCTAGATCGAAAAATGCAAACCCCACTTATTTTATAGTTACTTTGAAGTTCAGTTTTCACGTGTTGCCATTTATTTTTGTCCAGTCTCCCCCAGAATTTGC